AGGCTGGAGAATACTTGTGTGATAATCAGTAAATAGTAAGGCTTCTTACTAACAAAGATAACTAGGTTTCTGTCCATCTGGACCACTTTTATCATAAAGTGCTTCCCTGATATGTACATTAAAGAAGGTTTATGACTTGACTTAGCTATTTTCCACAAAATTTATAAACTCATTGTATACTTTGCATACTTTTTGTGATACTAAAGGATTTCATGTTTCTATTTTATATTTAGAGAAGAAATGGATCAAAAGACCCTTGGAAAAAGATAAAAATTAGACATGATTATTTGAAGTATAGTATGTGGAATAATAATTATTACTTCAAACTATCGTCAATAAACACATTGAATTTCACCACATATCTATCAGGTAACTAAGTGATGCAGTTTCTTGTTTTAAAATAATTGGACATCTATATGTACATGTATGTTTAGCAAGATTAACAATACACTAAATCCCTTCATAATGAAATTCCTATATTATCACAATCAAAAATTAAGAACTTACATTTGTCATTAAAGGTCAAAAATGAGAATAGAAACTATATGAAATTTAGAATTTTAGTTCTTTTTTTTAGTACTCTGAATAATGATGATGATATTTTAATGGAAAATGCACTGAATTTATAGAATGCATTTGGCACTATGGTCACTTTCACAATATTTAGTTAGGCCATCAATGAACACGGGATGTGTTTCCATTTGTTTGCATCATCTATGATTTATTTCAGAAGAGTTTTGTGGCCTTCTTTGTGAAGAACTCTCACCTTCTTGGTTAAGTATATTTCTAAGTATTTATTTAATAATAATTATTACTGTTGCAGAAGTTTTTATATGGTTTGAGGTTTTTATTTGATTCTCAGCTTTGATGCCCATATAGCAAGAGCAAGACTAAGAAAAAAATCTCTAGAGGTGTCACATTACCTGACTTCAAACTATACTACAGGGCTATAGTTAACAAAACAGCATGGTACTGGTATAAAAACAAGCATGTAGACCAATTAAACAGAAGAGAGAATTCAGAAATAAAACTAAATACTTATAGCCAATTAGTCTTTGACAAAGCAAACAAAATCATAAAGTGGGGAAAGGACAACCTATTCAATAAATGGTGCTGGGATAATTGGCAAGTCACATGTAGAAGAAAGAAACTGTATACTCATCTCTCACCTTATACAAAGATCAACTCAACATGAATCAAATAATTAAATCTAAGACCTGGAAGTATAAAAATTGCAGAAGATAACATGTGAAAAACTCTTCTAGACATTGACTTAGGCAAAGACCTCATGACCAAGAACCCAAAAGCAAAGGCAACAAAAACAAAGATATATAGATGGAACTTAATTACACTAAAAAGCTTCTGAACAGCAAAAGAAATAATCAGCAAAGTAAGCAGACAACTCACAGAGTTAGAGAAAATCTTCACAAACTACACATCCCACAAAAGATTAATATCCACAGTCTACAAAGTACTTAAACAAATCAGCAGGAGAAAAACTAATAATCCCTAAAAACGTGGCCTAAGGACATGAATAGACAGTTTTCAAAAGAAGATATACAAATGGCAAATGGCCATAGTTTAAAAATCCAAAAATAGTAGATGTTGGCATGGTGCTAATAAGGGAACACATTTACACTACTGGTGGGAAAGCAAACTAGTACAACCACTATGGCAAACAATATGGATATCTCTTAAATAACTAAAAGTAGAACTGTCATTTGATCCAGCAATTCCACTGCTGGACATGTATCCAGAGGAAAAGAATTCATTGTATGAGAAAAACCCATATACACACGTTTATAGCAGCACAATTCACAATTGCAAAACTGTTGAACCAGCCTAGATTCCCATCAACCAATAGGTGGATAAAGAAAATGTGAGATAAATAGACACATGTGTGTGTGTGTATATACACACACATATACAATATATATATAATATATATGTGTGTATATATATAAAATATATATATATATATATCACATTTACTTTACCCACCCATTACTTTATCCATACATTCCATATGTACAAGGGAATACTACTCAGCCATCAAAAGAGACAAAATAAACCTGGATGTAGTTGGAGACCATTATTCTAAGTGAAGTAATTCAGGAATATAAAACCAAACAATGTATGCTCTCACTTATAAGTGGGACCGAAGCTTTTAGGACACAAAGGCATAAGAATGATATAATGGACTCTCGGAACTCAGAAGGAAGGGTAGGAGGGGGGTGAGGGATAAAACACTACACATTGGGTACAGTGTATATTGCTTGAGTAATGGGTGCAACAAAATCTGAAAAATCACCACTAAAGACCTTATCCATGTAACCAAAGACAAACTTTCACCTAAAAACTTTTGAATAACTAAAACAAAAAAGAATTTTAAAAGACGAATATTTTTAAATGATCAGAAAAAATAGAATTGGCTAAAAAAACCAAACACATTGTAAAATTAGTTCGTTTTGTAGTGGAAACTAGGTATGAGTTGCTATATTTCTAATTCCACATACTTTCCACTGGGAAATGACAGAAACTCTAAAATAGTAAGCATTTTTTATCAAAGCTTTTAGGAAAAAAAGTGACAATGAAGTTGGATGCACAATAAAAGCCAAGCAGCACTACTCATCTCAAAATATCAAGAGGAAGAGAGAGATTTTTTATACAATCTAATTATTTAATAGTTTCCTTAGAGACAGTTAAAACAACACAATCCTGCATGAAATGAATCCAAAGTATGCCGAGTATGTGCAAAATAGTACTGATACTGTCAGTGCACTTCTTAATGTTCTTGTTTACATGTACAATGTTGATATGTAGTTAAGCTTATTTTTTTTCATGTAAACTGTGAATTAGAACAATAAATTTCAATCGAAGCTCAATAAATTTCAATATAAACTCATATGGCTTTACATCATTTTTGTTTTCCCTAATGTTTTCCTCCTTGAAGTGAAATATTTCTAACAGTTAAACAGGTACTAAATATCTGAAAAAAAAAAATTGACTTGACAAGGTAAGTTTTGAAAGATGTTTTGTTACAAGAAGAAAGGAATCTTGTATCACAACCTATTCTTGTTGTAGTAAACTGAAGGAGTCCCATTTATCGGGTTTCCCAGCTTCCAGCCTCAGACGTAATTAATCTCTTTTTCCCTTCTTTCCTGTTCTAACAAACTTCCAGACACAAAACAGACATTTAGTGATGATGAATATCACAGTTGCCACACAGGCCAGCAGGAACCCAATCACATCCAAAGAGTGGTACTGGAACCAGGTGAGGTCGTGGGCTGCAACCCGAAGGTGTTTGGCTCCTTTATGGCGCATGACAAATTCAATCCAGAAGACTGCTCGATCCAGGGGCTTCACTGGTTGATCATGATGAATTCTTGATAATTTCATAGCATTCTCTTTATATCTAAATGATAAACACAAAGGTATCAACATTGAAAGTAAGTTAATTTGGCCAGGCGCAGTGGCTCAAACCTGTAATCCCAGTACTTTGGGAGGCCGAGGCACGCGGATCACAAGGTCAGGAAATCAAGACCATCCTGGCTAACATGGTGAAACCCCGTCTCTAGTAAAAATACAAAAACAAAAACAAAAACAAAAATTACCCAGGCGAGGTAGCACACACCTCTAGTCCCAGCTACTTGGGAGGCTGAGGCAGAAGAATCGCTTGAACCCAGGAGAGGGAGGTTGCAGTGAGCCAAGATTGCACCACTACACTCTCAAAAAAGAGTTAGAGAAAATCTTCACAAGCTACACATACCACGAAAGATTAATATTCACAGTCTATAAAGTACATAAACAAACGAGCTGTGAGTGAGTGAGACCTCCTCTCAAAAAGAAAAAAAAATAAACAAATAAATATAAAAAATAAAGTTAGTTAATTTGCTTGAGCATATCAAGTCCATGAAAGATTTTTAAAGTGTCATATGATTCAATGTAAATGTAATAGAATTGACATAGAATTTGCGTATTTTAATTTGAGTCATCATAGAAAGTTTGCCTTTTAAATTGTATTTCAGAATTGACAAATATTTTTAAAGTAAAAATGGAAATTCAGGTGAGAAAGTTACTTATTTGAGGCAGAGAACATATAAGCAATTTTATTTTTTTTTAATTTTTAGTTTTTTTGAGTACATAGTAGGTGTATATATTTATGAGGTACATGAGATGTTTTGATGCAGGCTGTTATGTGAAATAATCACATCATGAAGAAAAGGGTACCCATCGCTTAAGCATTTATCCTTTGTGTTATGAAATATCCAATTATGCTCCACTAGGTCTCAAACAGGCATTCACAATCATGCTCAGCATCATGAGTCATTTTAAGTGGTGAAAGATATATACTTAAAATACAGTTTGAGAATTATCATCCTTAAGTTTCTAAAGATGAATTGTGTTATATGGGTGAAATGCCTCATAGCCAGGAGCTCTGCTTCTATTCTAATCTTTTGTGTCCTACTGTTGCCCACCCAGTAACCAGAATGATTTTTTTTTTTTGGAAATTAAAGTCAGATTATGACACTGTCTTGATTAAGACTTTTGCCTGACTTTTCATCATATCAAGAATAAAATCCAACTCTGTTATTTGGTCCTCAAGATCCTCCATTATCAGACACTGGCAAGCCCTTCTCCAAACACTTTCCCATACACACTAGGTCTTCTAGGGACTTTGGCCTTATATTTTTCTTTAAGTTCCCATCTTAGCACCTTACACATTGTGTCCCTCTATCCATGCTTGGAGTAGTCTTTCTTGCAACAACCCAAGGCACGTTTGCATCTCTTTTTGAGGCAACCCTCTAAATGTTACCAATAAGAGAGGCTTTCCGTGGCCACTCTATATAGTACCCCTAGGATTTCCTGTATTTTGTGTACTTATTTTGAAATTATTTCACACTTAGAATCTTAAAATACATCATATGTCTTCTAAAATACAATTTAAGTATAAAACACATAAAATAAATATACACACACTAAGTGAAACAGCTCAAAAAGGTAAGATCATCTTAAACATTATTTTGAAGTGAAGATACCAATTTACCTATCTCTCAGATCATGATAGAGACAAATAAAATATGGAATACCCATATTATAAAATATATTGCTGTAAAAAGAAATGAAATGTTATACACACAACATAAATAAAGCTAAAAATCATAAAAACAACAAAAATTGTACTTGGTGAAAGAAGTCATTTACACAACATAATAAGTTGTGTGATTCTATTTACATGAAATATGTAGAGAGAATAATCTATAGAGAAGGAAAGAAAATTGGTGTTAGCCTAGGGCTAAGGTGTCATGGAAAGTGACTTCTATACCATTATGGTTTCTTTTATGTTGATAACAATGTTCTAAAATGATATAATGGTGACAGCTTCACGACTGCAAGCACACTAAATACATCTGGATTTTATACTTTAAGTAGGTTGTTTTTCTGTTGTGGAAATTAAATTTGATTGTGAAGTCTATTACAATAATGATAATAAAAATAAATTTTTCAGTGAGAAAACAGATATACTTTGAGACATTTTAAATATTGAATTAAAATATTTTATTATATGACTTCAAGTTTATCCTTCCTTTCTACTGTGGATTGATTATGTCACATTTATTTTAATATGTCTTCTTATCTATATCACTTTAAAATTAGTTTTGTGTAGGAAATTATTTCGATAATTGGTTATTCATTAAATGTATGTGGTTCAAAAAAATTTTTTAAATAACCACTCAACAATAAAAGCAGATTGCAGATTGTTTAAATTATTTAAATTCTTTCAAAATCAGTCTGTTATATAAAGGATAAAAATCATACTCACTTTTGACAAGAGAACCTATCTAAAAACACCACCGAGTAAAAAAAAAAAAAGTTATACTCACAAAGGGTCATTAATTACTGTCTTCAGTGCATTGAGTAAGTCTGTACTCGACATTGCGTTGAAGTTCAAACTAACAGCTGCACCCTTGGCCTTCATGTGTGCAATGTTATCAGGTTGATCTGCAAACAATGGAACGCCCACCATAGGGATTCCATGGTAGATCGCCTCGTAGATGCCATTGGCTCCACCATGTGTGATAAAAGCTCTGGTTTTTGGGTGACCTAGGATTGGATGAATTTTAGCAAAATTATTCATAGGAATAAAATGAGAAATGCACAATGGAAGAATCTGAATGTGACAGTGTTTCCTTGATAATACACTGAACTGAAATGAAGTTGCTTTTCAGACTTCAGAGGAAGGAACACTTAATTCTGCTGGAGATGTAAGTGAAGGCTGTGTGGTGTGTTTAACTTCAGATTGAAAAAATTAATACAATATTACCAATTGAAGTAACATAGAGTGAAATTTGAACAAGGAAATATAATGTGCAAAAGAGACACAAGCACAGAAAAGGGGTGGGCATGTAAGAATGTGTTCTCATTTTTTGTTTGCTTGTTCGTTTTTTTAATGGAGACAGAGTCCTCTCTGTCACCCAGGCTGCAGTGCAGTGGTGCAATCTCGGTTCACTGCAACCCAGGTTCAAGTAATTCTCCTACTCAGCTTTCTGAGTAGCAGGGACTACAGGGAAACCACCATGCCCGGTTAATTTTTGGTATTTTAATAGAGACTGAGTTTCACCATGTTGCCCAGGATGGTCTCCAACTCCTGAGCTCAGTCAATCGGCCCACGTCAGCCTCCCAAAGTGCTAGGATTACAGGCATGAGCCACCTTGTCTGGCCAGAATGTGTTCTCTTAAGTACAGTCATGGAGTGTGATATGTGGGGTGTGCAAGGCAGCAGGCAGTGAGGTGGTGGTGGTGCTAGAATTGAGGAAGGACAGGTCACACTGCATTATGAAATGTGTCAACACTTTTTGATTAAGATTAGGGATTTAATCCTACAGAAAATGCAGTGTCCATGGTGGTAGCAGAAGAGCTGTTATTTTTAGTGACATTTGAAATAACCTTACAAAAGAGGAAAGTAAAGTTGTAGAAATATGAGAAAGGAAGACAACCCAGGAAGTGCCAGAAAAATTCTGTGAGAGGAAATAACACCTGACATAAAGATATTCTGATCATAAAGAATGTGGGTGCCTATCATAAAATGCCAACAATTATTGTTTATTCTTTTTATCTTAGGACTGGAAAATAAATATACAGAAGTTTCATTTTATTTTTAAGTTTTTCCATAACAAATGTTCAATAGGCTTGTTTCATGATGACTAGTAACACACTAATAATCTGTTACTAATATATTCAATATTTGTTCTCCAGAGACTTACCAAGAAGATCATTCTGGGGTAGCCACTTGTACAGCTGTGTATTGATTCCTAACGTATCTGGTTTATTCCCATCAAATCTCCACAGAACCTGTTACAGTGAAGAAAATATCTTATTCCATGAGAGGAGCTCAAAAGTTATAGAATGTTAGAACTCTAAAGAGATTAACAATGAGAACAAGGGATGTTAAGTAACAAGAACTACTCAGACTGATGTAAATAGAATACTCACATTTCATTTCCTTATTTTTATAATTAGTTAGGTATATAAGGAAATCATGTTTTTTCAAAATACTAGCTTAGACAAATAAGATTACCAATGAAAATTCAAGTGTTTAAAAAGTTGTTACACTTTTCAAAAGAAAACCTATATGGGGCAAACCTCTATATGAAAAAAAGATTAACATCACTGGTCAAAACACAAAGAGATACCATCTCACATCAGTCAGATTGGCCATTATAAAAAATTCAAAAAATAACAGATGCTGGCGATGTTGTATAGAAAAAGATATACTTATACTCTTTAGGAGGGTGTGTAAGTTCAACCACTGTGGAAGACAGGGTGGCAATTCCTCAAAATCCTAGAGGCAGAAATACTATTCAACCCAGCAATCCCATTACCGGGTATGTATCCAAAGGAGTATAAATTAGAACATGCACATGTATATTCACTACAGCACTATTCATCCTAGCAAACATATGAAATCAATCTAAATGCCCATCAATGATGGATTGGATAAAGAAAATGTGGTATATGTACACAGTGAAATATTATGTAGCCATAAAAAGGAACAAGATCATGTTTTTTTGCAGGAACATAAGTGAGCTGCAGTCCATTATCCTTAGCAAACAAACACAGGAACAGAAATCCAAATACCGCATACCCTCACTTACAAGTGGAAGCTAAAAGATGAGTACACATGAACATATAGAGAGGAACAACATACGCTGGGACTTATTGGGGGGTGGGGGTTGGGAGGAGAGAAAGGATCAGGAAAAATAACTAAAAGGTACTAGACTTACTACTTGCATGACGAAACAGTCTGTACAACAAGCCCCCAAGACATAAGTTTACCTATGTAACAAACCTTCCCATTTACCCTGAAATTAAAAGTTAACAAACAAAATTTAATTTTAAAAAGATAAAACATTTTTATAATTATATGCATTAAAATTTTTAGGTACTCAGCATTCTAGTGTGAAAAAGCAGTAACAACTTACTAATGACCTATATGCTTATTCTGTGTTAACGTCTTTTATGAGTTTTCATCTACTAAACTTAACATAATGTATTCATTTTTTTGAGTAATATGGGAAGTAATTCACTTATATCTACTTTTCTGTAAATTATTTTAATAGAATTTGATGTCTTTGATTGATAAAAATGCAAGTATATAAAATAAGCTACCTGGAAGAAGTCAATGCTGCAAAGGTAGCATGTATAACTTCTTTGAAATTACAAATGATCAAGCACTACTTCCAAGAAAAATTTCAAGTGATAGTTTTTGACACAAATTCAGAGTATTCTCAGTATTGCAAATTTTGCTTATTTTTCAACATAGAAATGAGGAACCTATTGGTACCACGAATAAAAATACAACTCTTAAATAAATTCAAAATTGTATTTTGCTGAATTTTGGTCAACTGATTGCTAACACTTAGTGTGCTACAAAATTTTGACAACAGTGATTAATATGTTCTGCTATAACCAAGACATTTTTATGTTTATTTTACTAATTTTGGGACCCCCAAGGAATCCTTATAAATTAAAAAATAATTTACAGTGTTTCAGTTGTATTTGTAACATCAGTGTTAAAGTAACTTTGAGTTTTTGGCAAAATATTAGCAGAGGTCATTACAAGAAGGCTATGTCAGACACGGAACTAAAAAGTAATTGACAAATACACATTTTATTCGATATAAAAGAAAACATGTTCCTACTATGTTCTATGGAGGGGGCATCTGAACCTGTTCCCCTGCCTGGCTTCCTTCTTCTTGAGTCCTTCCTATATTTCCTTCTGCTTCCTCCATTGGGAGGAGTTGTTAATCTCACAGTGCAGCGTCCTTGTGGGACCATATTTTATACTACACAGGGTCCACCCTCAGAGCAGGATCCATCTCCACCCTTTCTCTTTCATCTTCCTGCTTCAGACATTGGCTGGGCCCGGTCCAGCAAGGCAGGCTGCTTTTTCTCTTTCTCCAAATTTGCCTGGCTATGTGGGTCCTTATATTAGTTGTCTGAGAACCTAGGCTGTCCTTTGTCTGAATAGTACTCTGAATATCATGCAAATAGGCCTACTCCAAAGCATACAGGAAGTACATGAGGCTGGGTAATACGACAACACTAAACTGCATGATTCATGTCAGACTTTTTAAATACCTACTGTTGTTATTGTTCTAGTGAAGTTACTATAATGTTATGTTTTCTATCGTCTGTAGGGTGTACAACACCCTCAGGGAATCTTAAACAACAGGATCAAATCACAGGGGCAGAATTTGATGATAGCTCTTACCTGACCCCAGTATCATGATAATACCAAAACTTTAGCTGCAACTCTTAAGCATATTGATTCCTGATCACAATATTAATGCCAAATTAATTACCAATGAAAAACACCCTCTGTATTATTTTAGCATCTTCTCTATATATTTTTGATTTTGAGTTAATATCTGAGATAATTAGTGCTTTCCCAACAGCTGAATTTATAGGCAGGAAGTTTCTACAGTTGGATTCTTTACAAACTTTAACAGCCTCTTTCAGCAGTTTTTCACAACATTAAGACATTTTACCTAACCTTTTGTGGGATCTTGGCAAGGGCTGATGCAATTACGTTGGCCCTTTCTTCTGACATGTTACTGACCATGGACCCCAGAGAAAACACCACAACACCATTGTCTCCAGAGCTCTGTACAAACTCTTCCATTTCCTGTGAAAAAAAGAATGTGTTCTATCATAATAGATTATCAGCACAGCAAGCACTGTGAAACAATTGGTACAAAAACTAAAAAGAGAAAATCTCGTTTTTTGACTGACTCCATTACTCAGTTTTTTTGCAAGATGTATATTAGATAGGATGCCTCTGTTAAGGGTATTTGTATAAATATGTGTGTGTGCATATTTGTGTGTGTGTGCGTGTGTGTGTGAAAGAGAGAAATGAAATAGAGCTATTACACAGTATTTGAGGAGATACCCGAACTCTTCATTTATAATATTATAAGTACTAATGTAGGCTCCTTAAAGTGGCACCACTTGGTTTTAATGCTATATTGTTGTTCTGCTAAATCACATATGTTTGTTTTAGGCAGGTTTTCTACAGAATTATTTTAGTTGGAAGTCATTAGTGGTTGACTTCCCTGACTCTGAGCACTGAGGAAGTTACTCACAGCTGGGATTATGTAAATCTACATTTATCTTACTATAATCTTGTACACGTCACTTAAAGTTTGTCAGAGTTTTCCAGTCTTTTTTGAAAAGAAAAGAAAAAAAGTAACTGTAAAAAGTGGTGGTAAAGTATCACTGACATTCTGGAGTCTGCTATTGTGGTTTGGAGTTTCTATGAATTAATTCTAAGAGTCTCATTTATAATACAGAATTGTACAGTACATAGTTAGATAGTTGAATGATCATATTTTTCAGCTGATTGTTTAGGTGGAACACCTATCGCCCTGAAATCACACTGTTAAATTGATGTGCTATCTTTAACTGCATGTGAGGAACTCTCATCATCTCTTTGCTGTGTCTCAAAGGCAGCAGCACTTGCACCAGAATGGAAGAGACTGCCAGGCCTTTCTGCAGAGGAGATTTGGTCACCTTCTTGAGTAGCTCACTCACACCACATACAAATCTTGGTGAAAACGTACTTGGCTGGAATTTATTGAGAATCATTCTGACTTCTGTTCCCCAATCTATGCCAATTTTTAAAGTTAAATAATTTCAGATGTAATCATTGGGATAAAACTTTCTCTTAAGTGTTCTTTACAAAACAAAGATGAAAAAAATCCAAATGTTTACTTGCAGACCACATATGGCTGAGTATTTTTTAAAATATGACTTTCAATGTTAAGAAATTGGTGTTAATGATGTCAGAGTCACTGTAGTACTATTCCAGGTAATACATGGGATATCCAGGTATTGTGTGTGATTGCAGTGACCTGTAGCCACATTTGATGTAACTTATGTTCAGTGTTTTGTCTCAGTGGCTTGATGTTCAGAGCCTTCTTCATCCACCCAGGGTTAAAGTAATATAACCACTATTTACAGATTCATTATTGATGTGGACTAATTGTTTCCCATTCTGTGACAACTTAAAAAAATACACAATTTATGTAAGGAATTTTATAAAAGTATTAAAAGTTCTAAAAGGAAAATAAGTTTTGCTTTTTTAAATTTCTGTCTAGAGATGTTATCAAGGTAAATACGTATGTTTTCATCATGGCTTTTGTTCTATTTTTATAGCTGAATGTAAAACTGTGACATTTATTTAGATAATTTTGTTATTATTATCTATACTTTTTCTCCAACAAAAATTGTGTCACCTTGTAATATTTATTATTTTCTACCTCGCTTTACTTGTATTATAGCTGACTGTAATTGAATAGTGTATTGATAAATTTATTATAATGCTACAGTATGCATCTAGTATGTTTTTAATTATTCCTTCATTTAAGATGTTTGATTACTTCCAATGTTTATTTTGTGAATGTTTTCCATAAATATTAAATATGTATATCTTGATTTTTTCTCTGTATGATTTCATGCAAATATCTTATAAAACCAATGGCTATATGCGTTTTTAACACTTGATACATTTGCCAAGTGTCTTTTTCTATGAAAATATACATAAATTATCTGAGAATCTAATATTTAACTGAATAGAAAGCAACTTGGGTTTACAATTATTTT